GCCGGAATACTGCCACCCAGTTCCGGCGACTTCCGGTGTTTTCCTGCAGGATACGGTGAATTTTCCCGCATTTTCCTGCCGGTTCCTGCAGGATCTGTTGTCCGGAATCATTGACCTGGGAACGTCATTTTCTAACGTAAAAATCATTTTTTCCATTTGAATGAATAATTCTCGTAAGTCGATTTTCACAATATTAAATCGAGTCAAATCATCTTCACCAGTTATAATTTCTGCTAACAAGACATCCAATTGATCAATAATTTCATTAAGTAATTCTTGAGTTGTTTTTTGGTTGACTGTTCCTGCGGTGGATTTCGTGAATTCACTAGCTTCTTTTGGTGTATTGGATTCTGACGAGCTTTTATTGTTTTCAAATATTAGAACATATGTTTGGTCGATTAACATACGTAATGAAATTTCATCATCATTTGTATACTGACCAAGAATAGATTCCAACTGTTGTTTAAATGTGCTTGATGTCGGTAGAGAAGACACAATAAACTTGAATTTTTCGACAACATCTAAACATAAAAATCAATAGATAACAATTTATTAAATAAACAAAAAGCTGAAATCTTCTTTCAAGAATTATCCCAACGTTTGTTTTCGTAATAAAAGTAGAAGAAGAAACTTTTCCACTGAATCAAATATTTATAATCGGAAAGAAGTTTCTAAAGAACACCAAACAACTACTCACTTTTGTTATTCATTTTCGATTGATAATGCCGATGTGTGACAACAGATTAATGATTTAAATTTATCTACTAACACCGAAAAAAAGACCGCGGAATGTTGATACCAAATTGATTCAAAAATTCGACTAACCTGAATCAAAAATATCCTCACCAAACAAGAACAAATAGAAATGATGATGATGATCAACAGAATAGGTCTAAATAGGAGAAAAAAGAAAAAGTACTTTTTTTATTTGTTAATTCAAAAGAGATAAAGATCATTCAAACGAGAAAAGACAAAACAATCTTGAAATCGAAATGAAAATTTACTGACTGAACTTAAGGGGGCACCCCCCCCCCCCCCCCCCCCCCCCCCCACCCCCCCTGCCCTCCTCCCGCCCCTATGCCTGGNTTCGGGCTGAAACTTATAGCGATGGTTGGCCCTGATGAGAAACATTTAGTGGCGTATCTAGAACAGTGGCGACTCGCTGGCAGTGGGTGGGCAGTGGAAAGTGGCGCCACTCTTTTTTTGCTTCTAAGTTTTCAATTGTGTGTTATTTATACCTGAAATTTTTATTATAATCTGGCCCTAACATGAACTACATCCACTAAAAATTTCAGGTTTTAATAACGCATAATTAAACATTTAAAAGCAAAAAAAGAGTGGCGCCAACTTCCACTGTCCACCCACTCCCAGCGAGTCGCCACTGTTCCAGATACGCCACTAGAAACATTTATGATAAAAATTTCAGCCTTGTATTCCTTACCAAACTAGAGTTACGATGTATTTTCTGGCCTCCACGCGAATCGAAATAACTCCATGACCCTATTAGATATCGAGGTCGGGGTAGTTTTAAATTGAAGCTAGACTCTATGCGCAACTTTTCATCGGACGGATTTTTGAAATTTGACTCTATTGATTTTTTATAAGCATTTTAATGTACACGTCTCAAAAATGGCGCCAAAAAAGGCGATAAATTGAGCTTTTCTCAGCCTAAGAACTTTATATCAAAAATCCGTCCGATGAAAAGTTAGTCCCAACTGAGACCTTTAAAACAAACAAAAAAATATCTGGGAATGCCTGAACCGAGCCTAAGTTATTTCAATTTTACTGTCAGAAAACTATGTTTCGAGAAAAACACAAAATAAGTTTTAGATATCGATTTTTTCATGAAAGACTTGACAACTGATTTTAAAACGAAATATTTTCAACATGTTTCATTAGATCTTGTTACAATTGGTTACAAATGAAGCAAGGTAGCGTCATCTACCAATAAAAACTAACATTACTATATTTTTGCACTGGCACTAATACATCACCCTAAGCGGTGTGGAAAAAAAGATTTTCTCAAACAGCTGCGTTTCTGAACAAAATACGCTAAGTATATCTGTTATAGTGGTCGGAAATGTTTTAGAAATACGAACTTAAGTACCGTATGACGCATCAATCTCACGTCAATGGTGTTTGATTCGAATCAGTCGCATATAAATTGATGAACAGCAAAAAACCAAAAACTTTTACGAAATTTGAAAAATTCTTGAAAAACGTGATTATGGTGGATAATGTTTCTCCTGTAACTCCCTTAAAA